TGGAAATAAAAGCTTGATGAACAAGGCTGCAACTTTCACCTTTGTGCACGTGTCTAATTATTGCCTTAGGATAAAATTCTAGTAACCAGAGGCTAAGAATGCATATTTTTAACTCCGAGGAGCCAGGAGCCCAGGCCTCTGGGCGGTGCTCTCACCTCTCCTCCAGGCGGCCCTCCCAGACTGGCCTTCCAGGGTTGAGTACAGCTCCCATGGTCCCTTCCTCTCTTAGAGACCTGCCCTGAGAGCCCTGAAAAATGCTGGGAAGGCCTGGCTGGTGATGGCCAGGAGGGGCAGGGGTGGAGAGCACAAAGCAGGCTTGTCTGGGGCACAGGAAGAGGCCCCGCCCTCCGTGCTGCTGGCCCTACATTCCTCCTGGACAATGGCTGCCTTGGGAATCCTGGGAATGAAGGAGGCGGGCGGCTTCCCCAACCTGCGCCCTCCACCCCCACCAAGTTGTGCCCTTTCCCCAGATGGAAAGCAGGGGCACTTTGCATTGTGGCAAGGTGGGGAGGGCCAGCTACCATCCATGCCTACAGTTCCCGCCCCTCCTTTCACCAACACTAATCCACAGAGCCCCGCAGCAGCGACCTGCCCAGCCACCCTATCCCCATGGACCTTGGGCAAGTCCTGCTCCCTCAACTGGAAAAAAAGGGGCTTGGATTCAGTGGTTGCAAAACTCCCCACAGATCTCAAAGGCCGAAATGTGTGACTAAGACATGCACAGGCTTTGAGTCAGATTGCCTGAGTTTAAATCCTGGGCTGCCCTTTACCCTGGGAACTTAAGCTCCTGGGTTGCCCGCTTCCCTCTCGGCAAAGGATGTTTGTTGATAGAGTTCCACTCCCCCCCCATGGGAAGGCAAACTCCTTAGTCTGTGAATCCCGATTTATGCTGCATAACTCTGCTCAAAATACTAACCAGATCTCCAACCCCAGACCCTCTCATGCCCTGTGCGGACTGTGGCCCCTGGACATTTGCCCAGCAATTGGCCACACTCTGGGAGCTACAAGGGGCACCTGACGCCCCTGATGAAGCATCCCTCCCCGGCATGTTTCCATCTTTCCTTGCATCAGTCATAAGGCCATAAAGCTGTAAATGGTAAAGGCTTAATGGGACAAAAAAAAATTGTTTAATATAGGAAAACTCTTATTTATTGTTATTTATTTATTTATTTGGAGTTTTGACCTGTCAACCAGGCTGGAGTGCAATGGCATGATCTCAGCTCACTGCAATCTCCACCTCGGGTTCAAGCAATTCTTCTGCCTCAGCCTCCCACGTAGCTGGGATTACAGGTGCCCGCCAACATGCCCAGCTAATTTTTTTTCCTTTCTTTCTTTTTTTCTTTTTTTTAGTAGAGACAGGGTTTCATATGTTGGCCAGGCAGGACTCGAACTCCTGACCTCATGATCCACCCACCTTGGCCTCCCAAAGTGCTGGGATTATGTGGTATGAGCCACCTCACCCGGCTATTCATTTATTTTGAAACAGAATCTCACTCTGTCAGTCAGGCTGGAGTCCAGTGGCATGATCTTGGCTCATTACAACTTTCACTTCTACGTCCCAGGTTCAAGCAATTCTCCTGCCTCAGCCTCCTGAATAGCTGCTGGGATTACAGGTGTGTACCACCATGCTCAACTAATTTTTGTGGGTTTTTTTTTTTCAGTAGGACAAGTTTTTGCCATATTGACCAGGCTGGTCTTGAACTCCTTTCCTCAAGTGATCCTTCTGCCTTGACCTCCCAAAGTGCTGGGATTGTGGGCATGAGCCACTGCACCAGCTGGAAAACTCTTACATTAGATCGCATGTCCTTACTTTTGCTTGGGAAATGCAGGCATTTCCAATGCCACCAGCAGTTGCCAGGCATCATGGGTGGCATGGACTCCAGGCTCTTACTAACCCACTGGAAGTTTAGGACAAACACGTGTCAACAGGGACCCATTCCCAAAGCTACTCCTGTAAATATTTCTGAGCTATTTGCCACAAATCCCTGCCCACTCTCCCTCATAGACTTGTTCCCTCCTTCCCGTTACTCACCTTCTCCTCAGCCCTATTCTTCTACTCCCCTGAATTCAGATCCTCTGCCTCAAGTGCCAGAAAACTCCCCTCATAATGGCTTGTACAATAAGGAAAATACATGATCATACTTCATCCAATTTAGACACCACTGATGTTAAGAAGCACCGCTGCTTCATGTACTTTATTTATTTATTTTCAGAAACAGAGTCTTGCTATGTTGCCCAGGCTGGTCTTGAACTCCTGGGCTCAAGCCACCCTCCTGCCGCGTCCTCTCAAAGTGCTGGGATTACAGGCATAAACCACCATACTTCATGTACTTTAGAAAGAAAAAAATCCTAAAACATTGCTAACTAAAGTGACAATGATTTCTTATCACTTATAATTTTATACTTACTGAAAAGGTTCTCTTACACTTACTGTTCTTGTACTTACTTAATAAGAAAAACGTAGGTGAAATAAATTAGTTAAGGTTTTCTTAAAACGTTACCCCATTCACAGTCCGATTCTTGGATCACTTTTCAACTCCCAGCTGTCAATGTCTGTTTTTCCACACAGAATCACCATCTGGGCCATCTTACAAGTACTGGTGATACAGAACATTTTTTAAAAGTGGTCTGTCAGGCTGGGTGTGGTAGCTCACACCTGTAATTTTAGCACTTTGGGAGGCAGGTGGATCATCTGAGGGCAGGAGTTCAAGACCAGCCTGGCCAACATGGTGAGATCCCGTCTCCAGTAAAAATACAAAAATTAGCTGGGTGTCCTGGTGGGCGCTTGTAATCCCAGCTACTCGGGAGGCTGAGGCAGGAGAATTGCTTTAGCCTGGGAGGCAGAGGTTACAGTGAGCTGAGATCGCGCCATTGCACTCCAGCCTGTGCAACAAGAGCGAAACTCTGTTTCAAAAAAAAAGAAAAAAAAAGCTCTATGGAATTATCTATTGCTGCATGAAAGATTACCCCAAATCTTAGCAGCTTTAAGTAATCAACATTTTATATTGTACTTTCTGTGCATATGGCTTAACTGGGTGGTTCTGGCTCCTGGTCTCTTATGAGGCTGCATTCAAGCTGTCCTCTGGGGGCTGCAGGCATGTGGGGCTGGAGAGCTACTTCCAAGTTCACTCACATGACTGTGCACAGACCTCAGGTCCTAGCTGGCTGCTGGCTGGAAACCACCTCAGGGCCTCACCACATTAGCCTATCTGTAGGTCTCCTGACTGGCTTTATGACATGGCCCTGGCTTCCCACCCCCTACCAAATGATCCAAGAGAAAGCACAAGTAAGCATTCAAGACAGAAGCCACCGTCTTTTTTTTTTTTTGAGATGGAGTCTTGCTCTGTCACCCAAGCTGGAGTACAACTGCTTTATCTCGGCTCACTGCAACCTCCACCTCCCAGGATCAAGGAATCTCCCACCTCTCCCACCTCAGCCTCCCGAGTAGCTGGGATTACAGGCACCCACCACCATGCCCATCTAATTACTGTATTTTTGTAGAGACGGGGTTTCACCATGTTGGCCAGGCTGGTCTTGAACTCATGACCTCAGGTAATCCATTCACCTCGGCCTCCCAAAATGCTGGGATTACAGGTGTGAGCCACTGGGCCCAGCCACATATCATGATTTCTCCTGTATGCCTGTTGATCACACAGACCAACCCTGGAACAACGTGGTAAGGGGCTGCACAAGGGTGTGAATAGCAGGAAGTTGGGACCACTGGGGGCCATTTTGCAGGCTGTCTATGACATCCACTTTTTTTTTTCTTTGAGACCAAGTTTCAGTCTTATCACCCAGGCTGGAGTGTGTTGGCGCTATCTTGGCTTCCTGCAACCTCCACCTCCTGAGTTCAAGTGATTCTCCTGCCTCAGCCTCTCAAGTAGCTGAGATTACAGGCACATGCCACCACGTCCAGCTAATTTTTGTGTTTTTAGTAGAGCTAGTGTTTCTTTGGCCAGGCTGGTTTTGAACTCCTGACCTCAGGTGATCCACCCACCTCAGCTTCCCAAAATGTTGGGATTACAGGTGTTAGCCAATGCACCAGGCCCACATCCACTATTATCTCTGGGATTGCATTGTAAACTTTGCCAGACAATCAAAAGCTTCTAACTATCAGCCAGGACTCAAATAATCTTTACATGGCTTGTGGACCAAAACATCATGGGGTTATAGTTGTCCTGTCATGACATTAGGAAAGCCACCAAGTTCACACATGCAGGACAGCTGAGCCAAAGCTACTGTCTGGCTGACACAGATTAAGATGCCACTGGCTGTAACATGTATGCTGATTTCAAACATGTTAGAATGTGACCAAATATGCACTTTAGAATTAATGAAATACATCGTGTTACATGAGAAGTCTTGAGAAATGATAGCTCCGGAGTGAATTGATTCAGAGACTCTGCACCGTCTTCAGGGGCCCGAGTTCCCTCCATCTTTGTCTTCTAACACCCTCAGCATGTGTGCTGTGTCCCTGGATGGTTCCCCTCAAGGTCAAAAATGGCAAAAATGCAGTTCTAAGCATCCTGTATGGGCCAACAATTCCTCTCAAATGCCTCCTTTTAAGAGTAATGAAATGTTTTCCAGAGACATCCAGATCTTCCCTTCATATCATTGACCAGAAACCGTGTTACTGCCTTTGTTCTATTAGGTTCACTTGTATATGTTAGCTAAATTCAGAATGATTCAAACAAAATTAGAGATTACTTTTTCTACATAAAAAAGTCTGGAGGGTGGTGCTCCATAGTGTCAGTGTCACCAGGGACCCAGGCACCACTCATCTCACGTGATTTCATTCCCAAATCCACCTCATATTTCAAAACGGCTGCTGGAGTTCCAGCCATCAGATTCATGTTGTAGACCAAAAGCTGAAGGGCGAAGGTTGTTCTTCAGCAGAGTCATCTCCTTCAAGCAACCTTCTCAGATGTCCCACAGAACATTTCTGTTTTCATCTTTTTGGTCAGAACTTGATTACTGGCCGTTCCTAGGTGTAAGAAATCATAGAGGCATATTTTTTTGATAGGTACTTTGTCACTCTAAATAAAATTTGATCCTTTTACTAAGGAAGAAGAGAGGAAAATGAATGTTAGTTGGCCATAAGCAGTGTCTTCCACTGTCCACACACTTAAACCAATCCCTGGTTAGAGGGACAGGGGGATTGATCTAGATGCATCATGATTTACTCTGGAGTTGGACACAGATGACATTCTTCGAGAGATGGATCTTTGCACAAAATCTGAACTCTATTAGTGAGGAAGAAGCAGATGGAGCAGTCACTACTGGTTCTTTACCAATAACCATTGCCCTCCTTTCTTGCTAACAGAACCTTGAGTTTGCTCAGGAATCAGGCTGCCAAATTCTTCAGGGATGCTAAGCCCCCTCCCCTGGGATTGGAGGTGAATCCTAATTAGTCTGAGCACCCCCAGCAATTCCAGTCCCTCCGCCAGTGTTTGATCTGAGAATGGACATGTAGCATGATTTGGCCTATGAGACATAAGGGGATTTTTTTTTTGGGGGGGGGCTTCTAAAAAGATCTCACAGAGGTCGAAAGAGAAACAGCATTTCTTGGCCTCTCAATGTCATTTTCTGCCTGTGGTGTCTGAAACTGCAGCATCTGCCTTGTGACTTTGAGAGAAGTCAGGGTACAAGGACAAAAATCAAGAGGATAAGGACAGCAGAAAAAAGAGAAAGAAATGTGGTGAAATATTTAGAGTGGAAACCTATTCAGCAACCAAAATGAGCTGGGCATGGTGGCTCACGCCTGTAATCCTGACACTTTGAGAGGCTGAGGCAGGTGGATTGCTTGAGCCCAAGAGTTTGAGAACAAACTGGGCATCATAGCATGACCCTCTATCTAAAAAGAAAAAAAAAAAGAACTATTGCTACAACAGCGTAGGTGAAACTCAAAACCATTGTCTGAAGCCAAAGAGCCAGACACAGAAGAGTACATACAATATGATCCAATTCATAGAAAGGCCTAGAACATACAAAGCTGATCTACAGATAAACACCAGATTATCTGGAGCAGGAGGTGGCGGGGGTGGCGGTGGGGGGATTGACTGCCTATGGACACAAGAGAACTTGCTGCATGATGTCAATATCCCACATCTTGATTGGACTGAAGGTGACCAGGTCAACACTTGTCAAAAGTCATCAAACTGTAGTTTTAAAATCTGTGCATCCTGGCTGGGCATAGTGGCTCACATCCCATAATCCCAGCACTTTGGGAGGCCAAGGCAGGTGGATCTCTTGAGTCCAGGAGTTCGAGACCAACCTGGACAAAATAGCAACACCCAAACTCTACAAAGAACACAAAAATTAGCCAGGCATGGTGGTACATGCCTGTAGTCCCAGCTACTCAGGAGGCTGAGGTGGGAGGATCACCTGAGCCCGAGGAGGTCAATTCTGCAGTAAGCCGTGATCATGTTACTGCACTCCAGCAGAGTGACAGAGTGAGACACTGTTTCAAATAATAATAATAATAATAAATAATAAAACAAAATCAAATCTGTACATCCTACTGCATATAAATTGTATTTCAGTAAAGTTGACGAAAGAAGGAAAAGAAATAAAACAAGCAAGAAACAAAGAAGTGCAGAAGTAACGTATGTCCTTGATGACACTGTTGAGTCACTGACTTCACCAACACCGTATAAGCCATTTTTAAGTTGGGTCTTTCATAGCTGGAACCCCAAAACACCTTTACGTGGGAGGAGAGGCATCCAGACCCAGCCTAGGGAAGTGGGTTTTGAGGAGCAGCTGAGAAGGCAAGAGACCCTGAAGCTCTGCTTGATCTGGTGGGGTCTGCTCTCTGCTCCACAATCAGGCCCAGTACAGCTGGGGATTTCTTCCCACAGTTCTCCAACCTTCTCCAGCCCATCTGTGAAATGGAGCCCTGGTAATCAAAGGACTTGGTCTCAGGCTTCTGGAGATGACTTTTGCAAACAAAGCATAAGAGCTCTTAGCACAGAGCCTGGCACAGAGGAAGCGTTCAATGTGGTGCCTGCGTTACCTCCCCTGGCCCTGGTGAGGATGACCTGGGCCTGAACCAAGCAGGAGCAGACAGAGAGGAGGGAACAGAACTTAGAAACCTTTGGGACTATAAATGTCTGATGACACCAAGCACTTGGGCATGGGTGACAATGTGGATGGGATCGCTTCTCAGGCTTTTGGCAAAGATTATATGTAATATCTGTTTTTATTATTAGGTAGGTGCTGGTAAAGGAAGAGAAGAGATACAGGAGGAGAAACAGGTTTATGAGGTAAAAAAAAAAATAAAAGTGTAAGTTGAGTTTGAAGTATTTGTGAACGGTACAGAGTGGTGGGTAGGAGCAAGGGCTCTGCCACCCACTAGCTATGTGATCTGGGTCAAGTTACCACCTTTCTCGGAGTCTCAGTATCCTCATCTGTAAAATGGGCATTCTAAGAATACTTAGCTCATTGGGTTGCTACAAAGATTAGATGAAGCATAACTAAAAGAAAAAAAAGGAAAACAAAAAGAAAAAAACAAGAGTAGATGAAGCAATATATTGGCAGTGTTTAGCATAGTGCCCAGCACATAGCAGGCACTTCTCAAACGGTGATAATAATGTCATCATCCCTTCAACCCTTCACAGCCTGCATCCCCGGGTTAGGTGGGTAGCCTCCGCTGAGCGTGTGCACTGGAATACCAAACTTAGCCTGGAGCTTTTTGGGCTTTCGTCTTACCCTCCCTTGCCTCAAACAGGATGATCGCCTGCGGAAGATTTCTTCTCCTTTCCTTTTTCCTTGCCCCCTTCCTTCCCTTCCTTCCAGTCTCTACTCTTCCCTGCATCTAACAGGAAGCTTTCCTTGACTAATGTCTCCATTCTCTGCCAACCTCCCTACTGCCTTTGTGTAGGTTCTGGCCTCCCAGCCCAGAGCTCTATCCAACCCACTCCATTGCCCACACCCCCAATACAAACCGTGGGCTTTCTCCGTGGCAGTTCAAGGGAGGCCCGAATCCATGGGGACGCCTGCCTGCGAAGGGAAGGATGCCGCCTTGCACCGCAGCTCTACCACAGCCCCATGGACCCGCTGGGAAAGGGGTGGAGCTGGCGAGGAGGAGGCCACCTGCCAGAGTGGCAGCAGACAGGCCAGCTAAATCCTTGACCTATGATTTAAGGGGTCGGGCATAGTTCAATAGAGCACTCCAGGCTGAGTTCCAGCTCATTCACACAGGTCAGAGGGATGAGGGGCGAGGCGGGGAGAAGGGCCATCTCCTCCAAGGGCCCTTGGCTTCCTCCCTAGCCTTCTGGGGCATAATCCAGCCTGAAAATCACAAAATCCCTGAAAACCGTCAGTTCCATTCCCATCAGCGTCGATGCCCCCTCTGAGAGGCCAGAGGAGGAGGGCGGGACGGGGAGAGGGGAGGACAGCAGGGCAGGAGGGTGGAGATCTAGGCAGGCACAGCGCCTGGCACACAGCGAGGGCGGGAAAGGCTCCTCCCTCTGCTAACCGCGGAGCCCTTTGTTAGGTCCCGAGACGCGGCGGCTCTGCCCGGCTTCCCAGGTCGGCCCTGGTCTCTGCTCCCCTCCTTTGCCTTTGGAATTTGTCCTCAGACCTGGACCCTACCAGGGAACAGCGGGATTATCTGATGGAATTCTACGTGCAAACCGAAAGAGGTTTTGCCATAAATTCTAGTCCGGCCCCGGGCCGAGGGCCACGCCTGGGTCCCTCTCCAGGCCACCCGCCCGCGTCCCCGACCCCCGGCCCAGGGCCTCCCCGTGCTGCCCCCAGGGCTGCCCCGGGGAGCGCTATGCAAATGAGATGCAAACTAGGCCAAGGCAGCCGCGGGGATTGGCTGCCGCGGGAGACTCAGTCCGCCCAATCCCCGGCCGCCCGCCAGCCCGGGCGCCCCCGACCCGGGGCCGGGTCCCGCGCGTAAATCAGTCCCGTCAGCGTTAATGGCTCCTGACTAATTGCCTGGACTTGGGCTCCGGGCTTGGGTCGCCAGCATTAAAATTCAATCAGGCCTAGCGCTGAGCTATTAAATATTCATTGAGAGAGCTTCCCGAAATCGGGCTGGGGGATGGGGACGGACAGGGTTGGAGGGACTACCCGAATCCCCGGCTCCCGAGGAGGTGCCACTCCTCCCCAGCGCGCTCTCAGCTTCTGCAGCGGCTGCTGGGCTTCCATTCTGCAGGGCCTGACTTCTCCCTGGAGACTTTAGGGAGACTGAGCCGCCCTGTAGAAGGAATGTTCAGTTATGCCAAGGGGGCTGTCTCCTCCACGCCTGGTCACCTCGCCGCAGGACTCTTCACCCAGTGCCCACCATGAGCTCCTTTGCATGCTGGAACCTTAGGTCCCACCGGGAGTGAAATAGCTCCAGGGCACAGAAGGCTTAATCTTTAGGAGGGCCCCAACTTCCCTGGCCCTGCTGCCGGGGCTTTATGGAGCTACCCTGGCCATCCTCAGCATGGCTAGAGAGAGCATCAGTCTGGGAAGCACCAGGTCTGTGGTGGAAGGGAGGAGTGGGCTTTGTACAGGCCTCCCCTCCTCTTCCCTGCCCCCAGGAATGCAGCCTGTCCAAGCTCCCGGGCCCCTGGTCTGATGCTGAGCAGGCTGCCTGGAAGTTCTCAAGGAGGGTACCAAGGGGGAGGGAGTTGGGCCTGAGGGGGCCCTTGGGAGTGTCAGGGACTTAAGCAGAAAGTGCACCCTCCACCCACCCACACACACACCATAGTCAGAGGGTTATGAAGACAGCTTAGCAGATGTGATGACAGCCATGGCCCAAGGACTGGGTGAGCCACTCAAATAAAGGCCAAGAGCTTTTCTAGCCCCTCTTTGATATATTGCCACATCTCTTCATGCTGCAGCGCTAGTCCCAAGGCAAGGAGATGTTTGGGTTGGGAGGAAGAGAAAGTCTCGGGAAGTGTGCTAGAAGAGACTCATTTCCCTCCACTGGTTTTTCAGGGATTCCTCAGGAGCAAACCACCTGTTCACAGGGCTTGTCCCCTGCCCTTTGGACTGCTCCCTTCTCCTGGTGCCTAAGGATGGTGCAAGGCACGAACCCTGTGGGGCATGGGCGGAGGCTCCGACTGTCGGAGCCACAGAGCACCCGCAGATGCTGCAGGGGAGGGGTGGAGGCTGAGGGTGCCGGTCTCTACAAGGCCAGCAGCCATCAGGACTCCAAGAGGGTTGTAAATTCAGGGAACACTGTTTTGGTGGACACTGGACGGAACTTCTTGGTCTGCTATCTCTGAGGGCATCAACTCTTGGCCCTGAAGGAAGCCTGAAATTCTTGCCTGAGAACCCCTACTCCCCCAGGGCTTAGATGGTGATCTCCTTGCAACAAGTGGGGTCCAAGAAGCACCCTCTCTCCAGAAACCAGGCAGGCCCCAGGGCTGGGTGCAGGGCAGAATGTGTCTGGCAGCGATTAGGAGGGGAGCTGGGGCTGGGAGGCCTCAGGCTTCAGCAGGTCAGGAGTGACCCCAGCCAAGTGTCCGATTCCAAAGCCAAACGTCACAGGCAATCCAGGATTCCAAACTCACCCCACGTGTGGTTCCTATTAGGGCTGGCTGGGGTCTTCCTGAAGGCCAAGCCAGATTCCTGCGCCCCTCCCCCAGCACAGCCCCTCCCTCTCCAGGCAATTTGGAATGTCTTACTGGCCCCATGGGGTGGCCTGCCAGCACCCACCCTTGGGGATTTCCAGGGGCATCCAACTCTAAATACGCCTCTCCACCCACTAGAGGACGATTTTTTGCAATCCCTCAGAGGGGACAAAGGGATAGGGGACTTTAAACCTTTAGCTCCCCAGGGTAGACTAATTCCTGAAGGTCCCTGCACTGTGCCTGGGGAGTCTTCCCCATCTCCAGGTCAGCCACTTTTGTTCAGGCCTCAGCCCCTCTGCCTGGACAAACGCAGCTGCCCCCGTTGACCTTCTGCTACCAGTCCATTCCTCCACACTGCCCCTGAGCCAGTTCCCAAAACTCAGACCTATTATTCAGATTCTTTCCCTCCTTGCAAAACTTCCAATAGCTCCCCAGCAACTCTGAAGCCATTGAAGACTGGTGGCCAGTGGGCTACATCTGGTCCCATTATGTTTGTATCCTGTGTAGTTAGAGCACTCACAGAATTAATTTTTTTTTTTTTTTTTTTAGATGGAGTCTCACTCTGTCACCCAGGCTGGAGTGCAGTGGCACGATCTTGGCTCACTGCAACCTCCGCCTCCCAGGTTCAAGCCATTCTCCAGCCTTAGCCTCCCGAGTAGCAGGGACTACAGGTGTGTGCCACCACACCCGGCTAATTTTCATATTTTTAGTAGAGACAGGGTTTCATCATATTGGTCAGGCTGGTCTTGAGCTCCTGGCCTTGTGATCTGCCCGCCTCGGCTTCCTAAAGTTCTGGGTTACAGGCATGAACCACTGTGCCTAGCCAAAAAAAATTTTTTAAATAGTTGCCAACATTTAAAAGCCAGGAGGCAACACATACATCTACATTTATTTTTAAAAATATTTTTTGGCTGAGCATAGTGACTGATGCCTGTAATCCAAGCACTTTGGGAGGCCAATGTGGGCAGATCACTACTTGAATCCAGGAGTTTGAGACCAGCCTGGGTAACATGGTGAAATTCCATCTCTACCAAAAAAAAAAAAAAAAAAAAAAAATTAGCCAGATGTGGTGGTTCGCACTTGTAGTCCCAGCTACTCAGGAGGCTAAGGTGGGAGGATCGCTTGAGCCCGGTGGCAGAGGCTGCAGTGAGTTGAGTGGCATCACTGTACTCCAGCCTGAGTGACAAAGTAAAACCCTGTCTCTGAAAAAAAAAAAAAAAAAATTTAAAGGCGGAGTCTTACTTTGTCCCTCAGGCTGGAGTGCAATGGTGCAATCATAGCTCACAGCAGCCTTAAGTCCTGGGGCCGAGTGATCCTCCTGCTTCAGGCTCTTGAGTAGCTGAGATTACAGGCTCCAGCCACTGCACATGACTCTATTTTTAAATTTTCTTGAAAACTCTGGCAACATGTTTGCATTCCTGGATGGCAACAACTGGCTGGGGCTGAGTAAGGACGGTGGCTTACCTATGCACCATTGTGAGAATTCTGGAATCCTCACCAATCCCTATTGTTTCCCAGGTCTGAGGCCCAGATGAGTGAATAGCCTTTTTATCACTAGGCTGGCACTGGCCTTTTTATTTTACTTCTTGTCAGTTTCATGTCTTTAGTCATGTATGTTCCCATCTGCCCCTTCCTGCAGATACTTCAATTTGTTACAACAAACTCAAGTCAAAATTCCTTGACCTGGCATTTGTGTCCCTTCAGACTCCCTTCACAGATGGGTCCCGTCCTTATCCCAGTCAACTCCTCCCCTCCAATGCTCTTCTTGCAGGTACGTCAAACTTGCCATGTTTCCCTGGGCTGCCATCTTTGCACACACTGCTCATTCTTCCTGGAGCACCACTTCTCCTCTTCCTTCTCTGGTGAACTTTTAAACTTTTTTAGAGATGGAGTCTCCGTCTGTCACCCAGGCTGGAGTGCAGTGGCACAATCATAGCTCACTGCAGCCTCCAACTCCTGGGCTCAAGCAATCCTCCTGCCTCAGTCTCCAGAGTAGGTGGGACTGCAGACACAGCTGGCTAATTTGTTTTCTTTTTAGAGAGGGATGGTATCTCACTATGTTGCCTAGGCTGGTCCAGAACGTCAGGCCTCAAACAATCCTCCCTGGGGCCCAGCCTCCCGACCCTCGTGAACTTTTATTCCTTCTTCCAACTCCAGCCCAGAAGCCACTGACTCTGGGGCCTCCTCCTGATCCCTGCAGAAGTCAGTTACCCTGAGGTTGTCCAATGGTCCATATGATTCCAGAATTCTCACAGTGCATCCCCTCCCTATAGTGACAGCCCCTCCAGGGTTTTGAGGAGGCCTGCTCTGGGCACCCCCAGGGGTCACTGTGCTGAGGAATCAGGCCATCAGGCTGGTTGCCTCAAAGGTTAGGGGAAGGGGGTGTAGTTCAGTCCTGCAGGCGCTGGCCTCTGGGACAAACGCAGGTTTGCTGGAGTCAGCAAGGCTGCAGGAGAGGGAGGCAGTAGGCACCTTCTGTGCCGAAAGGTGAGGTTCTGGGTCCTAGGTGGGACAGCTGTCTGTGTCACCAGGGGACCGGGGCGAGTTGCTTCCTGTACCAGGGCAGTCAGGTGCTCTCTGATATACCCTGTGAGTGAAGTGAGCAGAAATGCAGAAGAAAAAGAAAAGGAGCAAAACATCAGGACTCAGGGTGCTGGGCAAAAGTGTTCTAATAAGAAAAATGTGACAGATTATTTGTGACTCTGATAGCTCTGGGGGTGGATCCATAAACATTCCCTGAGTTCCTCCAATGCCCCAGCACTGTCATCAGACATCTTCACCCCTGAGGCCCATGTTGCTGAGTCCCCAGGAAATGGCCTTGATACCAGCCTCCCATCCCTGGCAGTCCCTGCCTCCTCAGGGTTCCCAGCTCTGTCACAGCACCTTCCCAAGGTTAGGGCCAGGCCTAACCACTCGCCCACCCGCAGGTGTTGCTTCCCAGACTGTGAAATCAAATCCTCTGGACACACCCAGGAAGCAGGTACTGGGTTCCCATTTTACGGATGAGATGAGGACACAGCTCTGGGCGCTGCCCAAGCTTCCCTAGCCAGCGAGAACTTCAGCCCGCCAGGCCCGTCTCCTGCCCACCGGCTTCAGGCTCGGGCCTCGGCTTCTTTTCCTCCCTCCCACACAGCCCGGACGCGTCAGTCCAGTTCCGAGATCCAGATACACGCGTCCGAATCCCGAGGCGGGCTTAACTAACCACCAGTGTGCTCGTCTGCGGAGCGAGTGACCGAGGGACAGCCCCTGTGCTTCCCACGGCCTGGCTCCACGAGGAGCAGACCCGAAACGGTGGGATTCCGTCTCGCATCGCTGTGTGGCTCCGACTGGGGCCCGCCCCCCACCAAAGAGATGCCGTGGGTGCTCTCGGCTCACCCCACACTCGCCCCGGGGGGGGGCTCGCGGGCCACCTGAAGCTCCTGCCCCTCTGTGGCCAAGCCTGCCCGTAAAAGGGGGGCGTTCGCATGCTGGGGCGCGGGGCCGGCGCGCGAGCCTCTGTGGGGGAAGAGGAGGGAGGAGGGAGCAGATGGCAGCAATTACGGCGCGGACCCTCCCCTCCGTAGCCCGGGGCCTGAAGATCAGCTCGGCAGCTCGCTCCCGCGCGAGGAACCGGCGGGGCGGGGGTCCGGGAGGGGCGGCTCCGGCCGCGGGGGCGCGGGCATCCCCGCTTCTAGGAGAGTGTGGTGTGAGGGCGCGGTGGAGACTGCTCCTTCTCCTGGGACCGGGGCTGAGAGATTCCCTTCGGAAAGGCCGAGTCTCCGGCCGGCCCACCCCGGGAGTTGTTTCAGGCCAGGGCCTCAGCCAGCCCCGGCCCTGCAGGTCCTCAAAGTTACGAAGATTTTTCAGGTTGAGCCGATGGCCCAGGCTAGGGAGAGGGGAGCTGTACGGTTGTGCAGGTTGTGACCTATACAAAGTGGGATGCGTGGTTGTGGGCGAATGGGATTACAAACTGGGCCTTGGCAGGTGCTGACTCGTTCTGAAGGAGAGCAGGGGGCGCCATTTCTCACAAAAGTCTCGGTTGAGCCAGCCTGGCCTGCCCTTGATTTAAGGCTGCTGAGTGTAGACACATGGGAGAGCAAATGGCTAGGGTTGGCCCCTGTGGGTCAGGGCCAGGGCCAAAGAGGGCAGGGGACCTCTCCTGGCCCAGGGTAGAAACAACTGGATCATTTGGGCTCCCTGGGCCTTTCTTCCTTCTTCAGTTCCTCTCCCACCCTCACCGAGTCTTGTTCCTCTTTCTCTAACACAGCTCTTAAAACAGCCCCTGCGCCTCCCTCACTTCTCAACTGCCCAAGCTCCTGTTACTTCTCTGCACAATCAAAAAGGCTCCTGTCTGCTCTCCCAGGGTCTCTGGCTATCAGTTCACACCGCAGGGAAAGAGACCTTTAGAAATACAAATCAGGAAAGCACCAGGACATGTCACTCCCCGATTAACATGGCTGCCCTGGGAAGGAAGCAACAGCCTTTTCTCCCAGCGCCTACCTACACAGACCCCTCTTCCAATCCTCCTCACTGCCCAGACACTGCTCACACTGGCTGCCTTTCTGTTCCTTGAACTTGGCAAGCTTTCCCCCACTTCTGGCCTTGGCCTTGCTGTTGCTTTTCCTGGATCGCTCTGCCCAGATTCTTCCCAGGAACATCACCTTCCCATCATCCCTGACCACAATAAGAAAGCAGCCCTAACTGCCTGATCCAGTCTGTCACTTAACCTTACATATTTCTTCCACAGGACTCACCACATTCTCTAATTATCTTTCTTATTCACTTGGTCTGTGGTCTGTTTCACTTACCAGAATGTTAGCTTCATGAACACCGGGACCTTGTCTTTCTTGTTCTGTAGCACAATGCCTGGTGCAAACCAAGATGCACTCAATACATGCTCCATATATTTCAGGAAAGGGGTCCCTGGGACCAAACTGGATGCTGGTTCATCTGGTCACCTCCGAGAGGGCTTCTCCCTGGGTGGGGCCAGCTATAAACACCTGTACTCACCTGGTACACATCTAGATCCCTTGCACACATGGGCAGACCCATGGCTTACTATAACAATAATCTTGGCTGACAGCTAATCAGCTGACACTTGAGTGCTTTCTGTGTGCCAGACATCATTCTAAGTGCTCTACATAGTTTAATCCATTCAATCCTCCTGTGAAGTAGACACTAATATCCTCAGTTTACAAGCTGACACACCACACACACAGATCCACACCGTGACACACAGGCAGCATAAGCACTGAATTCGTTATTACCATCCAACAGATAGATGAGCGGTGTAAAGAGATCAGGGTGAGCCTGGGACATTTAAGAACTACTGTGGGAAGATGGGAAGAACACCAGGGAAGGCTCAGCATGGGGGTCAGCACAGGGCCAGCTGGGCAGGGTGGTACAAGAGGAAGTTGAGCCTCAGCCCACACCCGTATTCTAGGTCCCCACAGCTCTTGGAGCGGTGCAGAGGAAAGAGGCTGGTTCCTGGTTCAGTTCTGCCACCCACCAGAGGGGTGATCTTGGGCAACCATGTACCCTCTTGAGGCCACATTAGCAAAACAGTGGGGGAGGTGTGCATAATACCTGTCTCCCAGGGCCCCCACCAGGATCAGACTCTGAAATGCTCATGAAAGCCGTGTAGGGCTTGCTGATGAAAGGGTGCAGGTTGCCAGCTGGGAGAACTGGGGCTGGAGCTATGCTGTGGCTCTTCTGGAACCACAGCTCACTGCTGTATGGCCCTCCAGGGTGGGGGTTGGGGGGGGGCTGGGTCTCACCATCATTGCCTGCTCTGTAGCTGGCCTGGTGCACAGCTAGAATTCCATAGGTGTTTGTGGAGTGAAAGCCCGGATAAGGGAAGGACCAGGGCATAGGTAAGAGGAGAATGAATACATTAGCGAGAGGCAGAGTGAATGAAGCAGGGACTGGAGACCACCCTCTGCCTCTGAGCCTCAGTTTCTTCATCTGTGAAAGCCAGTGGTTGGGCTTGGCTGACTTTCATCTCTGGGCTCCGGTATGGATCAGATGAGATGGGGCCACTCCATGGAAGCCCCTCATTGCTATCT